GTCACCTGTGTCACCTGTGTCACCTGTCACCTGTCACCTGTGTCACCTGTGTCACCTGGAGCCCAGCTGCGTCCAGGAGAGCACCTCAAAAAACCCCAAAATTTGCCAAAAACCCCAAAATTCAAGAACAAGCCCCCAAAATCAGGGGAAAAAAACCCAAATTACCCTAAAAATTAGGGAAGAACCCCAAAAATTAGGGGAAAAAAACCCCAAAATTCAAGGGAAAAACTCCCAAAAATTACCCCAAAAATGAGGGAAAGCCCTCAAAAATTTGCGGAAAAAAAAACACCCAAAAATTCAGGGAAAACCCCCCAAAATTCAGGAAAACAAACCCTAAAATTATCCTAAAAATAGGAAAAACCCCCAAAATTACCATAAAAATTAGGGAAGAACCCCAAAAATTAGGGGAAAACCCCCAAAAATTAAGGGGAAAAACCCCCCAAAATTACCCCAAAAAATTACAGAAGAACCCCCCAAAAACAGGAATCAAATCCCCCAAAAAAGGGGAAAAACCCTAAAAAATCAGAGAAAAAATCCCAAAATTCAGGAAAAAAATCCCCAAAATTACCCTAAAAAATTTGGAAAACCCCCCAAAAAATTAAGGACAAAACCCAAAAAAATCAGGGAAAAAACACCCAAAAATTTCTGAAAGAACCTCAAAAATTTCGGGAATAAAACCCCAAAAATTCAGGGATAAAGCCTCAAAATTCAGGGAAAAAACCCCTAAAATGACCCCCTTTAAAGGGGTTTTGGAGCTCTGAACCCCCCCAAAAAAATCCCAAAAATTTTGGGGGGAACCACAAAAAATCGGGGAGTCCCCCAAAAAAATCTGTACCCCAAAAAAACCCAAAAAAATATTGGGGTGAAACCCGAAAAATCGGGGAGTCCGCCAAAAAAATCTGTACCCCAAGAAATGGGTTTTAATGCAAATAAATGGGGTTGAAATGAGGCGTATTCTGATTTTTTTGGGAATTTTTAGGGGGTTTTGGAAAAACCCCCAAAATTACCATAAAAATTAGGGAAACCCCCCCAAAAATTAGGGAAAAACCCCCCAAAATTACCCCAAAAAATTACAGAAGAACCCCCCAAAAACAGGAATAAAATCCCCAAAAATAGGGGAAAAAAACCCTAAAAAATCAGGGAAAAAAACCCCAAAATTCAGGGAAAAAATCCCCAAAATTACCCTAAAAAATTTGGAAAACCCCCCAAAAAATTAAGGAAAAAACCCCAAAAATTTATGAAAGAACCTCAAAAATTTTGGGAAAAAAAACCCCAAAAATTCAGGGATAAAACCTCAAAATTTGGGGAAAAAACTTGAATTTTGAGATTTTTTTTAGGGGATTTTTTTGGGGATTTTTGGGGCTCTTCAGCTTCATCCGAAACCCCCAAAAACATCAAAAAATTTGGGGGGCACCCCAAAAATTCTGTACCCCAAAAATGGATTTCAATCCCAATAAATTGATTTAAAATTCGGTGTGTTCTGGTTTTTGGGGGGATTTTGGGAGGATTTTTTGGATTTTTTTGGGGATTTTTTGGGGTTTTTTGGGTTTTTTGGGGTTTTTAAAGAGATTTTGGGGGAATTTTGGGAAATTTTGGGGTTCTCAAGGGGGGAACCCCAAAATTTTCCCGCCTTTTTTCCCATTTTAAATCCCAAAAATTTTGGATTTCCTCCTTTTTTAGACCTCTTTTAATGGGATTTTTTGGGGGGATTTTGGGATTTTTTTGGCCGCTCCATTTTTTTGGGGTCTCTCCCAAATTTTTGGGGTTCCCCAAGGGGGGTTCCCCAAAATTTTCCCGCCTTTTTTTGGCCATTTCGACCCCATTTTAAACCCCCCAAAATTCTGCATTTCTCCCTCATTTTCTTCCTTTTTTAACGGGAATTTTTTGGGATTTTGGGATTTTTTTGGCCGCTCCATTTTTTTGGGGTCTCCCCCAAATTTTTGGGGTTCCTCAAGGGGGGGACCCCAAAATTTTCCCGCCTTTTTTTGGCCATTCCGACCCCATTTTAAACCCCCAAAATTTCGTTTTTGGACCTCTTTTAACGGGAATTTTTTGGGATTTTGGGATTTTTTTGGCCGCTCCATTTTTTTGGGGTCTCCCCCAAATTTTTTGGGTTCCCCAAGGGGGGGACCCCAAAATTTTCCCGCCTTTTTTTGGCCATTCCGACCCCATTTTAAACCCCCAAAATTTCGAATTTCCCCCTATTTTAGACCTCTTTTAACCGGAATTTTTTGGGATTTTGGGATTTTTTTGGCCGCTCCATTTTTTTGGGGTCTCCCCCAAATTTTTGGGGTTCCCCAAGGGGGGGTCCCCAAAATTTTCCCGCCTTTTTTTGGCCGTTTCGACCCCATTTTAAACCCCCCAAAATTCTGCATTTCCCCCTCATTTTCCTCCTTTTTTACGGGAATTTTTTGGGATTTTGGGATTTTTTTTGGCCGCGCCATTTTTTGGGGTCTCCCCCAAATTTTTGGGGTTCCTCAAGGGGGGGACCCCAAAATTTTCCCGCCTTTTTTTGGCC